GAAGCCTTGAAAAATTTTGCAACAAGAAACTCTGCCGAAATAGACAATCAAGAACGTATTGCTCAACGAACATGGCGAAGGAGATGAAGACGCACGCTGAGAAGACTGCTGGATGACATAGTGTGTCAAGCCATCGTTCCAATGCAACCCGAATGAAACACAGTGAGCTGAGAGATAGTGGGTTGGAGAGTGTAAGGAGAAGATGACAGCCTACGTGCAACTATGCGGCCAGTTGAAAAGGGCTATACAGAAATCAAAAACACAAAACAACAATAATCACTTCATTCGATATAATGCAGACCAAAGGACCTGGCAGCAGAGGAGGACAAGATCAGTATAATTGCATAAACTGCGATAAATATTATATCAGTCAAAATGGGTATCATGTTCGAGTCAGAATCCAAGAACGCAAATTAGGTGTAAAAATGGCACGACATATTTTATTTTTATCGAGACATGTATACAAATTGTGGACACAAATTTGACTGTGATAATGTAGAAATTTCGAGCAACAGAAATACCAAAATCACCTAAAGGAATTCCTACAAGCCTGTTACTCAAATGAATCATAGATTAATAAACACATCACAATAGATCAACCGTAGGGCACTGGCAGACCATACACGTTTTCCGAGATTCGTAGCCTAGCCGGCTCACACCACCTTTACCTCTCCTAGCCAGTTACAATCTCGGCAAAAAGAGGAGGTTGGGCGTGAGGCTAGCAACCTCATCCATTAAAAGCTAACGCTTGTCGCCATATGTTCCCCTGAGAACGCGAAGAAACGGTAGTAAGAAGAATAACAGACCAAACTTACTAACTTCGACCGGAACAGGCTGGATTCAGGAGAAATAAGTCATATATTGGTCAAACTACCACAATACTGTTCATTATTGAACAAAGTTTGGAATAGAAGTCATCTCTCTATCTCAACTCCATCGACTTTGAAAAGGTCTTTGACAGCGTCGATCGAGGGGTGCTTTGGTGACTACTTTGCTACTACAGGGTGCCATCGACATTTAAACATCTCATTCAACTGTTATACGACAATTCTGCATGCCATGTAATGTACAACGGGAAGCTTACTGAATTCTTCGAAGTAAAGGCGAGAGTAAGACAAGCTAGCTTGATGCTTACTATCGCCAATGATTTTCCTGATTGCAGTAGATTGGATAATGCACCAGACAGCGGCGGGCAGCCAGAAGACAGACACAAAACGGATCTACATAAAAATTGGAGTATCTGGAATTCGCCGATGCGATATATGTCTGACTTCCCACAAACTGGAAGATATGCAAGTGAAAAGCAACAAGTTGGTAGAAGAAGTATCAAAGATAGGACTTCAGGTGAACACAGGGAAAACAGAGGTGATGGCGATTCCTGGCCAACATCAACAGCAACAACAACAAATGGTAATCAGTCAGCATGAATGGGAGGGATCTGAGAGAAACAACAACCTTCACCTACCTGGGAAGCATCGTTTCAACTACAGGCTGACGGAACTGATGAGGATATCAAAGCCAGAATCAGAGAAGCAAGACAAGCTTTCATTACTCTCAACAGCACTCGGTATGAGAAATAAGATCCGGAATTTCAACTACAATGTGAAGTCAGTCAGTGCTACTATACCGATCAAAGACTTGGCCCGCGTGTCATAAAGAGCATCTCAAACAAACTTCAAACGTTCATTAACAGTTGTCTTCGCTCAATACTCAAGATCAGATGGCCAGAAAAGATCAGCAACAAAGATCTCTGGGAGCGAAGCAATCAGGAACCGACTGTGAAACAAATAGGCAGGAAGAAATGGAGATGGATTGGCCATACTCTGAGAAAACAAACCATCAAGTGACATCACTAGACAAGCCATTGCTCGAGGGGAACCCGAAATGTAGGCGGCGTGTTGGTCGTCGAAGTGTGACTTGGAGGAGGTCATGTGAAGAGGAGATGATAGGATGTGGGCAGATTTGGAGCCAGGTGGAAACTCTAGCTGGGAAACAACGCAACGGAGACGCGCGGATGAAGCCCTATGTTCCTCTGGGATTTAGAGGATATTATAATAATAGCAATAGAGGACAAATCACATGACAATTAATTTCAACTTCCAAATCATTACAAATGACCTATTGAGACATAAATTTATTTCATTTTTTTATTTTTGATTACAGCTTGATTCCACATAGTATCTTTTGTACAAGTATGGAATTTTCAGCGTGGATATCGGTAGCCCGAATTTCGCAGGCCGACCATAGATGGTATCAGGTGTGCATCGGCGTGGGCTCAAACCCTGGACCATGTGCATGTTCGGCGAGTGTCCTAACCACTGTGCCACCGACGCGCAACCTATACGGACATTGATTGTTGTCAGGAGAATTCAAATAAATTAATTTCATACTCAAATCCACGATGAAACAATGTTGTCCAGGAGGCGAACGAAAGCTTAGCATTTTAATCAGCCAGCCAGTTCACAGAATACAACTAAATCAAAATTATACCGTATTACTGTGTAAAATTATTCTAAGATGGAACTATGGACTTTCACTAGATTTTTAAACTTCTAATTACTTCGCTTCAATTATTATTATTATTATTATTATTAGATGAAGAAAGTTAAGATCCATTGAAGCGTATCAAATGCAGAACAGCGTCTTTTTTTGAGCGAAAATAAAAACACTCACTTACACGCATACACACACAGACACACACACACTTGAATGGGATTTAAATCTCTGGGGTAATTAAAAACCTGTCCTGGTGATCAAAACTTGACAACAAACACAGAATCTAGATATAATTGAGATTCATATCAATTACATACTACGAATAAAGAATTTCCCACCCCCTTGGAAAGGGAGCTATTATTTGACAAACAACCATTACTACCATCGTATGTGCTGTACTTTGTTTCACGCGGTCATACGCTAGTCAGACTGATGTTCAAAGTAAAGGCTGAGATAATTAAAATATGACATTATAAACTAGATAATATCATGAATGATTTTCTTTCTAACTTGTCATAGAAGGAAGTATGGTGTTATATACATATTAATTTCTTATCAAACACAGTCATCGTTATTAACGATGCTTTTGAATTTAACTGGTGGATGGTGACTAGCAGCGGAATCCACGATGAGAATTTCATCCTATTTGGGACTCGTCAACAATTAGATATACTTGCATTCCCCAGTGAGTAAGTGATGATGTTCTTATCGAGGCTTAGAACATAGTGCCCATACTCTAAACCACCAAATCGTTATCCACTAGAATACTTGGGTCATGAGAGTGACCTCTTGTGCAGCGAGTCATATTAATTATTTAATTGAATTTTAGATATTCCCGTCAACTGATTGATTGGACCGAAGTGCTCGACCTAAGGTTTACATGTCGACTTCTTGTGCAGTTGCTTCGACGATGTCTGGGCATGTAATTCGAATTTAATTGGTGGATGATGATTAGCAGAGGAATCGAGGATGCACATTTCGTCCCATTTGGGACTCATCAGCTGGATGTACCTGAATTTCCCAGTGAGTGTTGATGTTCCCGCCGAGGCTCGAACCCACTGTCCATAGTTTCAAACGTCAAAGCGTTATCCACTAGATCATGAGCTTCATCATGAGCTGCATCACTTTGAAAAGTAGTGACAAATCACCAAGTAGTACTGGACAGCTGTTTATTCCGCCTGTTTTGAGACTATCCAGTAGCATGCACCCACTCTACTGCCAGAGTAGGAACCCAGGGCCTTTAGGTTACAAGGCGAGCTTGTACCTCTGGTACCTTATCCAGTTAATTCCAACTTCTTTTAATTCATGATATAGCGCGAATTCTAGAAAAAGAAGCCTTGAAACTTAATAATTACCCGGATAAATTAGTCGGGAAATATGTAAGGAAATGTACAGAGAAAATAAATAATGATAGTAGTGATAGTGATAATGATGATAATAATAATGATAACAGTAATAATAGTAATAATAATAACAATGACGACACCAACAATAAGGAATCTAAGTCATCAGTAGTAATTCTATGCAAGGAAGGAACCTAGAAAACCACCTTACGCAGAATTCTTAACAAGGAAGGAATAAAAGTGACTTGCATTCAAACCAACAAATTCAATTAGAAACAAGCTTTGTCAATTAAAGGATCAATCTTTTGGAGTCTTTAAAACAAAACAATTTAGTTTATCTAATACTTCACCTGTAATGATTGTCAGGTCAAATACATAGGTGAAACTAATAGAACAAGGTTAGTGAATCAGACTAGCTGAACATAAAAACCTAGCAAAATCTAGATTGGTTGACCCGAATAAGATAAGAAATCTAGAGAATATTTCAGCTATACCACTCACTACATGCAGTTGCACACAACCATACAATAGGATGGATGGGATAGGATGACAGTGTCAGGGTGAATGAAGGGAGAGATTGATAAGAGAAGCTTTGTTTATTGAATCAACTGCAAATACGTGTAGAAGGAATGATTCAACACCTGTCCAGCTAGACATCTGGAAAATCCTACTACCCCAACGACAAATAGGCGAGGACAAAGCAAAACTATAAAACTCAAGTTTCGGAGTAGTGTGATTGCAGTCGATATGATTATGAACAATAAATTTTGTTCGAAACCTCATCCAGTGTATAATACTATTTCACTGTGTGATACATCTAATATTCAAACTAATATGGAGCGACTACTAGACAATGTCATCAGTCGATTGTATTTTTCCTCACATCCTACTTGCTGTACCTCACTAATTACAACTTCTCACTAGAACCCATGTAACTCACTACCTTAACTGAACATGACCAGTCGCTAGAGTCAGCAAGTTTTGTGGCTAGTGTCTTATTACTACTATAAGCGGTAATAAATTTTACTCGAAACTTGGTTGTCAGTAAATATTACTGTATAACACTGTGAACCTTAATCCAAATATATATTCTCCCTGAAGGAATCATCAAAACTTCTTAGGGTAGCATAAACAGGTTACATGAAAAATGTGAAAACTTACCGTCTTGGTTTTTAACTGATATGTGTATTGATTGGTATTTTGAGTCGACGCATTATAATAATACACTGAATTCCGCCTTTTGTCTGGAAACGATGTCTTTTGATTGTCAGGATTGTCGGTGGATGGTTTCCTTTTTACAAAATCCCTATCGTCGTCAAACTGATGATATTGCCAGTCTTGACGATTTACTCCACTGCCGAACTCAAATGGTTCTAATGATATAAACTGATTATTTGCATTGTTGTAAGAATCATCACTGTGATAATTGGATCCAATCTGTTTTGAATAATTTTTTGTATACACGACTAACTGATCTTCAATCAGACAGGTTACTGTACCATTTTCATTCAGATCAGGATCATTAACTGTGAGAAATGTAGCTATTGTATTCTTTGGTTGATTACCAATCATTTTAGTATGAAGTGAAACATTACGAAGTCTTTCAATAATTGAACTTGCAGTCATGGTTTTATTGTTGACTATCGATCGCCAAAGTTCTTTTATCCCTTCATTGTGTAACTCACTGTTATTGTTGATCCTATTCAAGGGATTCGTATATAAATGTTGTCGATACTGACCTGCTTCTTCGGTTAATTGTATCAATGGGCGGTTGTCATTGACATCTAGTATTTGTAATACTATTAATAGATTTGAACTTCTCTGTGGGATGCCATGATCTAGCGCTGTGATAGTGAAACGATGTAGACCAGTTGAGAATGGTGCTGCCTCCCTGTCTAGTGGATTTTGTACAATCAATTCACCCGTAGTGGAATTTAACCTAAAAAACTAAAGAAAGATATCAGAATTAAGGATGTGAAACTTATTTAAGGGGATACATGAGTTTATTCAGCACTTTCCTAAATACCAATAAAAATGTAAAGTAAATTCGATGAAGGGTCTGGTTAGACAGTCAGGTCATTTATGAATACGACTCTTCGTTAAGGAGCAGAGTGTAATTATTCCCCATACATCAGAGATATATATTATATATGCGCAAACCAAGTTCACTTTTATTAGTTTGAAAAAAGAATTTGGGCATTGGGTCTATGATATTCATTAAAATAAAGGTTTTTGTATTTCCCAATGAATGAAAAACAAAGCGACATTGTTGCTTTTACTGACGTTTCGCTATTTAATGCTGCTGCTAATAGCTTTTTGAAAGTATCATTGAACCAGAATTTACAAAATCTAAGCATATATGTAACAAAGAGCTAGGGGGTGAGAAAATAGACTTAGGTCAAGTTAAAAGGACATATGGAAGATCAAAACAACAATGAAGATCACTAAACCGAATAACAAAGGTAATAGTACATCTGTTATGATACTAAAACAAAGTTTACTAACTTGATCATCGTTTGTTAGTCTGGGGTCATTTTTGCGTTGTCAAGTTGGCCACTTGATAGAGATAACAAAATCAAATGTAGATTCTTGGACTTGATCAGTGTGTAAAACTATAAATGCAGCTTGTGTTTACATAGTGTACTTGCTTATCACATTCGTGTTGATTTTGTCACTTCATGGGGAGGGAGGTGTTGTAAGCATGTGAAATTCTGTTTTTGTCCGTCATTCTTATTCAAACACTTTGGATTCCGCTGGATTTCTCGGTTATCGAACAGATGCTCTACGGTGTTCATTTCTTCTGATTTTGATTTCTCGAGATGTCCGGTTGAACCAGGAAAGCTTGAAAAATCATCAGCCATAGCTCGTCTACACGCTATATAATCAGGCCACAAAATTGATTCTGACAATATTGAAATTATCACCCAGAACAACTTCGGAAATCACAAAGAATCTCGTCTAATATCAGAAGCACTTCATATCAAGTGGAATCCAAATTGTCTGAATAGGAATGATGGACTAAAACAGAATCTGACCTGATTACAACACCTCCCTCCCCATGAAGTGACAAAATCAACACGAATGTGATAAGCAAGTTCCCTATGTAAACACAAGCTGCATTTATAATTTTACACACTGATCAAATCCAACAGTCATCTACACCTAGTTTTGTTATCTCTACCAATTGACCAACTTGACAACGAAAAATGACCCCCATACTGACGAACGATGATTAAGTTAGTAAACTTTTCTATAGTTTGGTTTGTAAGGGTTAGTTATGTTTTTACGAGTTGATCACTGATTGATATCAGTTAGAGAACCATTGAAAACCAGGGAGTACTGGACAGCTGCTATTTCATCCTAGTTTGGGAATCATCAGTAGTACGCACTCACTGGGATTCGAACCTAGGACCTTCTGGTTACAAGGCAAGCTCGTATACCATTCAGCCACTGGGACGTGATTGAATATAAACTGGGATAAATGCACTGGAAAACTAGAATGTACTAGATGGCTTTTTCGTCTTAGTTCGATAATCTTTGGTAGTTCGCACATGTAAAGCCAACGAAGATTGAAGCCAGGACCTCTGGGTTAGGATGCAAGTCCACTGATCTTTCAACCACTGGAAGAGAATCATATTGGTCATCAATTATAAGTTTTACCAACTCGCTATTTGGAGCTCAGCTGTCAGCCAGTGTAGAACCTGGAGGACCTAACTGGTCATGATATTTTTATTCCATTCTTAGCCACTAGTGAACATCAGATTGATTTTCAAGTTCGATTTTCTGGAGATTTATTTGTCTGAAGCTCGATAGTGGAGCGATCAGGAAAGCTATACGACGCGGTGATCAATGGATTTCACTAGGTTGAGTGTGAGTACAAGTATGTGCACATAACATCGGCTGGTGATGACACTTAAAATCACGAATTGATTGGCCATCACATTCTGACCCAATGGCTAAATGGTCAATGGGCTCGCATCTTAACCTGAAGATCTTCGCTTCATTGCATGATTTAGTGATAAGTGAACACTGTTGAAAAGCCACAAATTAGGATGAAGAGACTTTGCATTCTTATCTGGTTCTCTAGCTGGTATCAATTCGTGACTACACCTGAAACCAATGAGACCCTGCAAAGTGATCCTCGAAATAGAATGTAACTAAGGCTTTGTTGTTTTGTTTTGTTTTTTTTGTTTTTATTTTTGATTACAGCTTGATTCCACACCGTATTTTTGGTACACATATGGAATTTTCAGCGTGGATATCGGTAGCCCGAATTTCGCAGGCCGACCATAGATGGTATCAGGTGTGCGTCGGCGAGGGCTCGAACCCCGGACCATGTGCATGGTCGGCGAGAATCCTAACCACTGTGCCACCGACGCAGTTGGTAGGTTTATAAGATTTTCACGTAGCCATTCTTTTAGATTGTTCGAGGTGAACGTCAGGAGGAATCCCTGCGTGACCTAGTTTTCATGATTGTTGGCTGGTAGTCACCAGTCATCAAGGAGTGTATCAGCAATCTTGAGGGAACTCGAATCACCCAGTGCTGCCTACAGTGATAAGTTTTACTACTGAGATATCTGTGGTCTCGACTGACATCTTAGGTGGGAATGTAGTATTAGTTACTGTGATTAGACACCGGATGGATGACACAAGTTAGTGTCCGATCACAATAGCATTCCAAGGTGACAAAGGTCAAGACTGTCTTCGAATCTTAGATAGAGCGATGATATTTTGTTTATGTCCATCACGTTCACCACAAAGGCAGACAGAATTTGATCAATTACAATATTTAACCATATTTCAACACTATGGAGTGCTCCAAGTCTGTTTCTACCTCACTCAACAACCAAAAGACTATATAATGTGTCAGGTGATCCACAACGGGAAACTTAACGAAGAATCCATTGAAGTGAAGGCTGAAGTAAGGCAAGCGCATTGTCTGCTAACATCAACGATATTCCTAATTGTGATGGGTTGGATTATATGGGAAACGGTGTGTGGAGAGCGAGAAGTCAGTAGTATGGTGGACCGAAATGGAAACTCTACGTGGTCTGGATTCCATTGGTAATTTATGTTTAATGCATGGAGGATTTCATCATGAGCTGACATTAGTTAGAGTACTGGACAGGTGTTTCGTCCTAGTTTGGGACTCTCAAGCAGTACGCACCCAATGGGGTTCGAATCCAGGACCTTCTGGTTACAAGGTGAGCTCATAAATCATTTTTAATTTTTTTTAATTTTATTTTTTATTTTTTATTACAGCTTGATTCCATACTGTATTTTTGGTACAAGTATGGAATTTTCAGCATGGATATCGGTAGCCCAAATTCTGCAGGCTAACCAAAGATATCAGGTGTGCGTCTGCAGGGGATCAAACCTCGGACCGTGTGCATGGTCGGCGAGAGTCCCAACCATTGTGCCACTGATGCAGTGAGCCACTGGGACCTCGATCCAATGGTCTTTGAATTCTAACTTCTACTAATTCACGACATAGAGCAACCGATTCGCTACATCTTAGTCGATGATTTACTGCCTTATCTTCAAATAGCTGTACCCTACTGGTCACTGCTTCCCACTAGAACCCCAGGTTAACTGCCTGAATAGGACCAGTCCAGTACTCTCAGGTTTTCCAGTGGTTCTCTTACTGATGTCAGCCGATGATGAAATCCTCTATGCAATCAAACAAAATCCCTACAAAACCAATACTTGAAAATTTAGGTTTAATGTCACACAGACTGGAAGAATTGCAGTCAAAAACAAACTAACTAACTGGAGAAGCAGCAAAGACAGGACTGCAGGTGAACACAGGGATGACGGTGGTGATGGAGATAATCAACCAATAGCAACCAGAACCAGTTAGCATCGGCGGAACAAATTTGAGAGGGACTACTTTCTTCACTTTTCTAGGAAGCATCGTTTCAGTTACAGACACAACCAATGAAAGAAGATGTCAGTGCCAGAGTCGGAAAGACAAGATTCACCTTCATCAATCTAAAACCAGTTTGGACATCCTCTGCACTCCACAGGGTGAAGAATAAGATTTGGGTTTTCAATATAAATGTGGAGTCAGACAGATCTTCTGTATGAGACAGAAATTAGGTGCCAGAATCAAGCAAAGCATTCCAGCAACTGCCTTTGCTCTATAGTGATGATTTTATGACCGATCAGGAAGAATTAGTAACAAGAATGTCGAATGACCATCTGGGCGTGCGTTGGAGGGTGACATGGAGATCGTGTAGAGAGGAGATAAGAGGCCATTGATAATCATGTGACCATCTGAAGGGGAGAGCAGGAATTGGAACAAGGTGGAGATGTGTAGTTGAAGCCCTTTGTTGCAGTCAGAACCCAAGAGAACATGATTCATAATAATTCATGATTATGACATAAAAGTTGTAAACTGTCGAATATCACTCATTATCTTGATCCATGTTGGTTTAGTTTGTGTGCAAAGTCAGTCAGGTCATGTTAAAGGATGTGCTACAAGCTGATTTTGGTAAGAATCCTTTGAAATTACCCGTACCACTCAATACTACAGAGAAAAATCGACGAAAAAATCCAACTTAAGATTGTTCTTTTCGGTTCCAAGGGGAACATGACTTCTATGTAACAACAGAAGACAAGGGCCAGGCAACAGATCGTTTTATTACGGAAATCAACACGTATTTATATAAATTTCACATATATTATTATAGCTTATTCAAGTAGACAAACTCAGTCTTCTGAATGGTTGTTTCCTAAAAGTTAAGCAGACAAACGCAGGCTTCTGAATGGTTGTTTCTGGTAACCATCGAAAAGTAGAGCCATCTATCTGTGAATCATATTTGCCCACGTTAAGTCTGCTTTGATTGTTTGCTGAATCAGCCTTGCTCATATTTTCTCACGGCCAATATTAGTGACCTAGACATTGACGTAGATTAATATCTACCAATTGGCTAGCAGCCTGCCCT